CTTTACATTTGCTTGGATCAGCTAAAAATATCTTGTTTTGATACCAAATCTGGGGCGTTGGGACTAATTGATTTCCACAAGGATTTTATTGAATTTATATCTAAAGATCAATATTGCAGGGACATGAAGTTTCTTAATGATTATGAGTTCATCGGCAGACTTCCATATCAAGCTGAAAACCTTGCTGAGCAGTCTTTGAAACCACATTTGAGACTGATGACTCATTGTGTTAGTAGCTGGAGGTGTTGAAGTGTACCTGCTCAGTAGGACAGTAGGAGTTCAGTCCGGTCACCAGCCTGCTAAGATGATCTCATGAAACACTGAGCATCAGCAGCTATTTTTGTATTCATGCAAAACTGAATAAATAAATAAATGTAAAAAAAGAAAAACAAATGTATTTTTCAAGAAAAATGTTGGGTTCATGTGGACTTACAGTATCTGCTTGAAATACAGAGCACTGACTTATAGTATTCTTACAAATCTTACTGGTTTTCTTCGAAAAGTTTCCCTTTTGCAGGACTGATGCACATTCACATTTTCAACCTGCTCAGTACAACCCCAGTCTGATTTGATGGCTCCACTGGAGAAGGAGGAATTAAGCCTCTAGCTAAAGAAAAAGTGTCTGTGTGTAGTTAATAACACAGTATAGTGACATTTACAAAGAAAGGGGTAGTAAATAGGTTCACTGTACACTGAAAGTACTGTGAGTCCTACAGAAAACACATTACTGTATGTGATTGGTTTGATTTGGATATGAAATATTTTAGTCACTATGGACACCAGAGCTGAATGTGCAGACAAATATATAATAAACAACATACTGATATAACTGATGACTGCTGCATGATGTCACGGTCCTCATTATAGGCTCCCTCTCTTTGCTCTCCTTGGAAAGCTCTTATGCAAACCAGGCGCGCGCGCAAACACACACACACACACACACACACACACACACACACAGAAATACAACCCTTCCAGCTTGCCTTCAAACTATCTAATCACACAGTAACTCACTATGCTTGATGGCTCCCTATTGGCAGCACTGATGTGTTTCAAAACAAATACGCAGAATGCTATCAGCGATGTCTTTTCCATGTCACCTGTAATCACTTAAATATCATATTCCAATTGACAAACACCATATTCTGCCTTAGTCTCCTCTCCTCTGATTGGTTTTATGTTACATATTGTGGTTTCTCACAGAATATTCCCTGTCTACTTTTTACATTCAAAGTTGCAGCCTGACGAAACTTTTGAAAATTATAAATAGCTGACCAAGTTTAAATAAAAAATAATAATCTTCCAAGTTTGGGGGATAGCTGAGGCTTACATAGAAACTCATTTTGGTAAATACTCTCTGAGTCAACTGAATTTATGCATTGAATGTCTGCCTGCTGTACTTGCAGATTTCCCATCTAAGGCCTGGCATCATTCAATGTGGCTGTAATGAGAGATGGAAGTAGTATGCTGTTTATTTCAACCATCTGTGACTGGCCTGAAAATTTCCTTTAACAGTCTTCCCTGCTCTGCACAGGAAGAAAATGACTGTGCTGTGACTTCATCTGTGACAAGGAAGTAAAGTGGTTGTGATATTACTTGGAGTTGAAGAAGTGGATTTCTTTTGCAAGTGAAAAATTAAAACTCTCTCTGATATTGTGTGTCTCTTGGAAGAACGATCAATTATGAATGTTGCTGCTGTGCTTCTGGAGTAAATATTTCATCATATATTTTGTATTGACTAATATGAAACTGAAATGAATTTTCAGCAAAAGAAAAAACAAACAAAAAAAACGCCCCAAGAAATTACACCAGATGTCACAGCCTGTTTTATGTAAAATGTCTCTCTTTTTAGTTCTGGGATAATCGTTCACTGGCTGAATAAATGGGAATTTTAAAAACCATAATTTCTTAAAAGTCTTTTCTAGAATTTCTCTCTTACATAACCACTAACTACGATGTATTATGTTGATATATTTGGAAAAGCATGCACAGAACAAAAAACATAAATAAAAGTGTCGTCTGCTTTGGTGATGGTCCTGCTGTGTGTTTTGCACGCTTTTATGCCATTAACTCAAGTGCTCTTTGGGGACAGAGAAAGCTGAGTTGAAATGAATTATGTCAGCCCAAACAGCTTTAACTCCTTACAGGTGGTCAATCATCTGGTTTTTAAATAGCAGCGCAGCAGGGAGAGGTGTAGTGGCTACATGCATTTATGATGAAGCTACCAGCGTGGCCTACTTCTGGGTGACTGCTCAGGTCCCAGCCAGGCACACCTCCTCACTCTCTCTCTGTCTTCTATTCAATTTGTTTTATATCACTTACTCTCCCGTCCCAATTATCGCCTGTAGACACCACAGAGCTCTGTCTGAATGGATAGCTGGACTTGACGCTGATTGACGCAGACTTTACTAATTCAATACAGTGCATGCTGTGTACTGTATTTAATGGTGTAGTTAGTGTTGTTAGTGTGCAAAAAAATAATGTAATATATGTATTGTGCATTATGATGCGTGTGTTGGTGGGGGTCATACTGAGCTGCAACTTTAGAAAAACCACAAGTTTTAAAGTTGAAAGTGTCACCAATAGTTTGAGAATAGAAATTCTCTGAAACATGACATTGCAGATAAGATTCTAGGAGGCATATTTGGATTTTGTCTTTTTTTTGGTTAAATGTATCCAGTGTGACAATATTCACATTAATAATGTGGTTAGAATTAGTATTACAGAAAGTACAAAGTTGGGACCGAAGGGAGGAGTTGTTTACAATTCAGGCTACATACAGGCAGAGCTGCTTTAGAGGCTACGCAGGAGTTGAGATCTTGCTTGCTGATTTACCAGTAGCCTACAAGTGATGCAAAATATTGATGAAGTGCCTCTGAGCAAGAACAACAAATTTCTACTGATTCCTGTATTTATGCAAAGCAAGTGACTGCCTCGATGTAATTCTAATTTTAAAGCAATGGCATCACATCTTTAGAGGTAAAACACATATAGTGAAGGAATGCTGAAAAAGACAGTTTTGCTCGAGGCAAGGTTGGTTAAGAGTGGACAGATGAAAGCCAAAGGAAAATATAAGAAGCATATGAGTAGAAGGCTGTAATAAGAACACTGGTTGGTACGAATACACTTTCTGAAATACAGCAGACTTTGTATATTTTATAAATTACTACACTATTTGCATGTAATACAACCCTGATTTGGCCTTGCAGCTGGAGCATGTGCTGATGGTGTGTGTGATTATACTGGGCACTGGTTGTCTTGTTTTTGATTGATTCTACAGTAATGTATCCCGTACCTGGTACGTCAAGATCATCTTCACTTTTGTCTAATGATCTAAATGAGAGTTTTTATTTATTTTTGAATGCGAAGGATGATTTAGCAGTGGGAAAAATTCACTCTTAGTTCCATGGAAAAATTAATTGAAAAATCATATAATTTTTTTAATTGATCTCATTCTAGCTACAATGCAATGCAATCTCTCTCTCTCTCTCTCTCTCTCTCTCTCTCTCTCACACGTACATGCATCCATGCATACTGACTGTATGAGAATTAAGAAAACACCTATCGCGCACTATTTCTATCACTGTTCTGTGTGAGGATTTGTCCATGGTGCTGAAAGAAGTCAATACAACAGGGGGAGGCGCTGTTGCTCATCTTACAAAGCCCAAAACAAAAATCTCACATAATGTAACAACTCACTGGCAGTTGGAGACATTTATCTGGGTCTTGAAGATAACACTGTCATGAAGAGATTCCAGAAAGAAAACTACAAACACGTTGCTACCAAAATGTAAAACTGAGAATATGGCACAGTTTGTACCGTGGAAACCAACCATGTATCTTACAATTATGTGTTTTAGTCATGCACGTTGGTCAAGCTGTGGGTCCAATTGTTAGAACATTTGAGATGGATGCAGCAATTGTACGACCATGCACTGAAACCGTTGTAAAAGTCTAAAACTTATTTTTTTTTAAACAGGGGCATGCGGCTCTTGCAGCCTGGAATCGCCCCATAAGCCTCCAGTAGCTTGTGTGTGTGTGTTTGTGTTGCTGCTGTGGGGATGTGGTAGTTGGGCGGGACGGGGGCGCGGGGGGTCGTGTGTGTTTGTGGAAGACGGGGGAGCAGCCATGAAGACACCACCCAGCTCTGTAGGGGAAGGGAGGCGGTACGAGAGTGTGGAAAGGAGAGGGGGGGTGGGGGGTGGTTGATGAGATGCTCGTTTCAGCACCGCGGACAGCTCCAGCAGCAGCGGGTCGCTTTTCTCCGCTGCTCTGGGAAAAAAAAAAACATCCAAACTGAGATTCTTATTTATTTTACATCTCTCGAAGACAGCAAATAAGATGTGTTTTTTTCTAAGGCGGGGTTTTTGAGTTTAATTCAGTCCGGAGCATGCGACATATTTGTAGTGGCCGGTTTACAGACAAAACCACAGGACTCCCGAGGATTGCTTGTGCAATCTCTGCGAAGTTTTTTGCCACTGAAAGGCATTCAACCTCCTCCTCCTCCTCCTCCTCCCGCTGGTCTGCACAGCCTGCAAAAATCTGAAGGTGTTCAGGGAGGAAGTTGAAGAGAAAACTAAAGTGACAGCACCGCTTCAGCACCTTCTTCTGTTTGGACTATATCCCAAAATAAGTTGTGGACTTGTGGTTGTGTGCAGAAGGATTTCTATTTGTTGGATAAAACTCCTAGAAGCGAAAAGGCGAGCAAGACAAGTTTCTTTTCCATTCGGTGCTAAAGGCTTCTTTTTCCAGCCTCGAACCACCCCCACTCCCCTCCCCTCCCCTCCACCCCCTGTAATGGTCTTACATTAGCCACTGATGCAAGCCTTTTATGCGCCGGATACATTTCCCCTCTCCAGCAGCACTGATTCTTTCCATCTGAGTCTTTTTTTTAGATTTAATATTCACAGAGGGACGCCCCGGACTGCTTCCTCCCCCCCCTCACCCGCTTTCACATTTTCGACAACTGCTAAAGACTGGTAGGTGATAACGACCATGGATCGATGAAAAATGCTCATCCACGTTGTTGTGAGATGAAGTTGGAGCCCCCTGCGTAAACGCAGAATAACCGATGACACAGCTTAGCAACTTTTGACACTGATCATCGTTTTTTTTTTTTGCTTTCTTTCTTCTTCTTTTTCGAGACTTGCTGTAGAAATAGGTGTGTAGCCTGTGTGTGTAGCTGTTTCATGACGGAAACGATGGCGCTGAGTGGTAACTGTAGGACTAACCCCAAAGAGCAAGCATCAGTTCAGAACAGTTTCCCAGATGTGGTTGAATTAAACGTAGGGGGGCAGGTTTACTACACGCGTCACTCAACTTTGGTGAGCACCCCGAGTTCATTACTCGGTAAGCTATTCTCTTCTAAAAAAGACGCATCTAATGATTTGGCGAGAGACCCGAAGGGCCGGTATTTCATCGACAGAGACGGGTTTTTGTTCCGGTATGTGTTGGACTACCTCCGAGACAAGCAAGTCGTCCTCCCGGATCACTTCCCGGAGAAAGGGAGGCTCAGGAAAGAGGCGGAATACTTCCAGCTGCCCGATTTAGTGAAGCTCCTGACCCCAGATGATCTGAAGCACAGCCCGGACGACTACTTCCACAGCGACTATGAAGACGGGTCCCAGGGCAGCGACCACCGGCAGTGTCCGCCGCCGTCCCTCGTCCCCGCGGACAGAAAGAGCGGCTTCATCACGGTGGGATACCGGGGGTCGTGCACCATGGGCCGAGAGAGTCAGACCGACGCAAAGTTCAGGAGGGTACCTCGGATACTGATTTGCGGGCGGGTGGCCCTCGCCAAAGAAGTTTTCGAGGAGACCCTGAACGAGAGCCGGGACCCGGACAGGACCCCGGATCGTTACACCTCTCGGTTTTACCTCAAGTTCAAGCACCTGGAGAGGGCTTTTGACATGCTGTCGGAGTGTGGTTTCCAAATGGTGGCCTGCAACTCGTCGGTCACAGCCTCGTTTGTCAACCAGCACACAGAGGACAAGATCTGGTCCAGCTACACAGAATACGTATTCTACCGTAAGTCACATTATACCCCCCCCCTTATTTTATTTAATTGTATTTATTTATTTAGTTTTTACAGCAGGTCAACTTCACATGAGCGCGCACGTGCACGCGCGCACGCACACACACGCACATAAAGTTGTATTCACCGCTAGAAGGCGCACTTGGTTTACTCCTTCTGTGTGTGTGTGTGACAGAGACATCTGGTTATTGGGATGGATGGACCACCCATCTTATGAATGATGTGGGTGTGGTGTTCAGAGCTGCTTCCACCTGTTTCCATTACATATAGTTCCGGAAAATCAGTTTTTTTTCCCCCACTTGGACAGGGTTAAACAGACTTTAAAAACATCCCCATGGTACACACAGAGACCACAAAGCTGCACTGTATGAGTTCAACTTGTCCACGAGTAACCTGCATCACCTCATGCAAGCACAGAGTCAAACTAACACGCTCTGTTAATGTCTGAAGTTTTCTCTGAGCCCTGTGGAACAAAACCAATTAGTGATCACTCCTGGTAATTGGGCTTAATCCAAGGTGTTGCCGTCTCTCCCTGGAAGCAAGACAACCTTAGCAGCAAACACACACCTGAAAAGCTAGTTCACATTTTAATCTCAGCGTGCTCAAGCCTATTACAGCATGTTGCAGCATTCAGTGCAATCTTGCAGGCTAGTTTTATATTTCACAAGATTTAACCAGATTTGAATAATTTCACTCCCATCTGAGCTACGGCAGTCGACAGAGCAATGATTTGTCAATGCTTGCCATTTCTCATCTTGGTGCAATTTTCTACTCCACCTCCTCTCAGCTTTCATCCATCCCATCCTTTCAACTTCTTGCTTTTCCTTCTGGCTCTCCCATTGCTTTCCTTACATTGCTCCATCTTTGCTGCTCACTGGCTGGTGTGAATCTGGCAAGAGTGGATGTGAAGGAGATCATCATCATCACGACTTTTGTTCTAGCTTTCGTGAGAAAAAAAATCAATATTCTCCGATCTGACAGTGTACAATTTATCCCAAACTCTTTGTTACCTGCCACAATGAAGCTGCCATAAAGGAATCAGTGATAATGTGAATGTGCTTAAATTTTTTGTAAATGTATAAACTACTTGGAGAATCTGAAAGCTACTCTAAAAAAAGTCCCTAAAAATTAAACAAAACTATTTATTTTCCATGCTTAGAGTAAAGAAAGAGCAGTTACATTTTTTAAATTCTGATTGGTATAACCTATGAGACTGACTCAGATTAATAGTGCCTGAACAGATACTACAATGACTAAGTAGTGCCAGACATATTATTTTGGATTTTGAATCACAAAAAGACCTTGACCTTGTTCCCACTCAAGCCCTTTGAAATGGGAATTTCAGCAAGTACGCCATGGCTTTATGAATATTTGCAAATACTACTGGACCCGGTTTCAGTTGTAAATATAGTTTTCATAGCTACTACAGTGATACCATTTTAATACATGTGAAAATCTGTTAGTGGTTTTCAATGTTAAAATCCCAAAAGATTAAATCAAGGCTCGTTACATAAGTGAGATACAGTACAGCAATGCACAATGTGCTGCAAATAAAACTGGACTTGCTGCCAACACTATTGAGTTCAATGTGTCAAAGCAGCATCAAAATATTCCCTAATAACACAAAGTATCTGTGTCTACTCTTATGGTGGAAAATATGGTTTATTTGTCCCCAAAAAGATTACAATTCAAAAAAGGAGCTATGACTTATCCCTCTCTCCTAACAGTTCCATTTTTCTCAAGCGTTCAGTGCCGAGTAGGTTTGGGTTTCATTGATATTTGAATACTATATAGACTTTATATGCAACATCCCTTGTGGTCCTTCCTCATTTCCAAATAATTTATGATTACAGAGCAGACAATTTTGGTGCTTTTGGCAATCATGAATGAAGCGATGGACACTGCTACATATTCATAGGAAACATTTTTCAGTTCATGAAAAAGGACATCTAACCCAGTTCTTGTTACTGCTGGCTTTGCTGTCTCATTTCAGTGCCCAATCGTCCAGATGTTTGGCAAGTAAAAACAGTCACAGACCGATATGCAAACATCCTTAAAAGGCAAAATCACATCAAAATAGTTTTTGATGTGATTTAAAGAAAGCTGAAGTTGTTTTTCATGACAATTTAGCATTGTGTGTAAAATTCTTTACATCCCAAAAATATCTTTTAATTAATCTTGTTCCAAGATTTCCTTTCTTTACATCCCACATTGTTTCAAGATTTCCTTGTAGTGACTAAGGCAGGGGGCCAGGACCACTGGTTAGAGACCAGGGAGCTGTGCATCCACCACCACCATAGGGAAAACCACCGCAAGCCCCATAAATCACATAAGTCAAATGATCACATGGTCATAGGAGTAAAAAAAAAAAATCACATGAGAGTGATTTGCTGGGCTGGTTCCAAGCTAAATGAGCTCTGCATTAATGGCCTGCATGAAGCAGCTACAGTGACTGGATGGCTCATACACCTTGCTTATGCCATACAGTATCTGGCAGTGTGTCTGTGGGCTGCCTCTGCAGGCCTCTTCTTGCTTACTGACGAACAACAACTGCTTCATGGCTTTGTTGACAAATGTTCAGCTTGTTAAAGGGCATACACTCAAAGGCAAGGACACAAGCGGCGGATGGCAGATGTGTTGGGCCTATATCTGAGGACACACACAGCCACACAAAACGCCGACATGCAGCCGCACAAATAAATACATGCACACAAGAGGCAAGAGCGTGCATACACACGTGTAACCAGGCATAATCACAGTGGCAGGTGTGCACACTAACACACACATATGCATGCAGGTTACCATCCATACACACACAGAGCCATGCAGGGAGTTTGTTAAATGCTGCAGTCACCCAGTGGATTAAATGTTGTCACTGACAGTCTCTTGTCACATTTTTGGCATGCTCATTTTTCCCCTCTCCCCATCCTCCCTCTTCCTCGCCTTGCTTGTCTTTCCTCTCCCTCTTCTCCTTTCATGTCTTCTCATTTTGCTCTAGTCAATCATACCCGGCTTTTCTCTCTTGTCTCACTTCCCGCCCTGCTTCTCTCCAGCTTCATTTTGCTCTGTGCGCCACAGGGGCAAGGAGAAGTGCGGCGGCACCAGTTGCCTTTTCATGCCTCACTGCACCGTCACGCCTCCTGTCTTGCTTCTTATTCATGTCTCTGTCTGTCTGCCTGTGCATCTCCATGATTGTTTATTTACCTTCATCTTTGGCTGTCTCATTCTACATTTTTCTGTCTGTGCCTTTCCTTATCACAAATATTCCAGCAACTCTGTCTCTCTTATTTGTTGTCCCTCTATTGACCATATTAGAGGTCCTAAAGTCTTAGGCAACAGCAGCAACTGATTGTGCCTCTCACAATTTGTTCAGATCTTGTCAACAGCTTGTAGTATATAACAAAAAAATCCACATACTTTTGTGTACTTTTGGTCTTGGGCTGTTTTCATGTTCTGACATTGTGCTGACAGTTTAGGGAAAGAAAGAAAGGTACATAAAGAAATGATTTTGCCAAATTGGTGTGTAAAAACTAGCCTTCAAGGAGCACTGACCTTAACCTCATTGAACACATTTACGATTAATTGGAACGTCAGCTGCGAGAAAGGGCTTATGCTGACATCAATGACCAACCTGTGGCTGAATGGGAGCAAATCCCTGCAGCCAGAGTGGAGGAATTTAAGCATCATATTAATGCCCATTGTTTTGTAATGAGATGTCCAACAAACACATGTAATTTTTTTGGGCCCACATACTTTTTTGACACATTTCTTGCACATTTCAAGGTAACATTAGCATTAGGGGTTAATGCTAAATCATCTGCAATTAACCCGGACATCAGTGATAGAGTTAGCGAACTAATATGACCAAAACCTAACTGTTTGTTTAGGTGAACTTAGTAGACTCTTGAGTACAGGCTAAACTTTACAGAGAAACACTAGTTCACTTTCCGTTCCCAGTTTTACTGACACAACTTTGACTTCCACTTACAAGCTTTATGTTTTTCTTGCCAGAAGCCTCAACCTCCTTTATCTCTTTCAATCCTCGTTTTACTCGTTATCTATTGCCCTGGATTCTACACTCGTCTGATTGCACCTATCAATCTCCTCTCTCTTTGTGGCTATTCAAATTCTGGATAGCCTCTGAAACCCCACAAGGCAAATATATTTACCAATTTGTTGCATGGCTGGAATGACTCATAATTAATCATCAGTGTTGACAGTTGGATCTGTGGTATTCACCGCAGGGCCTGTCAGAGCCTTCCGCAACAGAACCATCCCACAACACAACATCCTCCGTGCGGCAAAAAAGGAAACATTTCTAACTTCTGCTGAGAGGATAGGAAAATAATATTTTTTTGGTTCAGGATGTATTTCCCCAGGCTTTATTTTTACCTCAGCTGAACATGCCAGAGTGAAGTGGGTGTCATTACAAATGGCCATTTTCCTATGACCGTGTGTGCTGGCGTGTGACACACTGTGCCATTAGCTTGTTACACACAGATGAGTAACTTCTTGTGTAGCAAATGTGTTTTGGCAGGTGGGAAGAAAAAGGGTTATGGTAATGGTTATGGTTTCTGTGTGTGTGTTAATGCGTGACCCATGTTGCACTACCGGAGGCATTTGCACACCCATTGAGCCGCTAGCTAAACACACCTGCACCCCCCCTCACGAACACACGCACCCACTTGCAGACACACACACTCATCACCATATGAAACTACATCACGCTCACCCTGCGAGCGTCTCCCGGCCCAATCGGTGACGACATTAGCAGCGGCGGTCCCATGCTGCAGGCCTGTAGGAAGTGATTAGCTGAGGAGCAGACAGGCCGTGACAGCTCTGAGGAGAGTCTTGATAGGGACAGCTGCTACCCTGGCCTCAGCTCCACAGGGGAGTCCACCACCACACACCTCAACTCTGCATTATTCAGACTGAGACAAAAAGGAAGGAAAGAGGAAGCAGGTGGAGATCACGGTTTGATGTATGAAAGAAG